CTATACCAGGGGCAACTTTAATAAAAATAATTAAAATAATTACAACTTTACAAAAAGAGAGAAGTTGCCGATCTTGCCCCAATACCCGGGGCAACTTCGTCAATTTCTCTCTTCTTGTAAAGTTGTAATTATTTTAATTATTTTTATTTCCAAACTGATTTTAACCAGTTCTATAGTAAGGTAACATTCCAATAGACAATATGCAAAGCTTTTTTTCAGTTTACAGCAGCATTTATTACACAAAATTTAAGTAAAGCTTAACATGCCGATCTTGCCCCGATCTCCCCTATGTATTTTAAAATATATGCTTTCCACCTCAAATTAGTAGCAACTTACTCCTGTACAGTATACCTTTCCTGTTAACAGCAGAACCATGCCTGTCATCTATGTAACTGTGTTTGTTGGTAAAAATTTTTGAATTTAAATCATGTCACTTCTGATCAATAATGTAAATTTTTCTATAGTTTATCGGAGTCTCCTGTCCATTAGTATTACTTTCCTTGTCTTGTCCTTTATCTATCTAATACCATTCGCGAGATTAAGGAAGGACCGACAGACAGGTGGACGACAGTGAGAATTTATAGGTCTACAAGTTTTCAATAACTGCTACAAAAATCATAAAAATACATACAGTAAAACCTGTCCAAAACGGAAACCTGTCGAACAGCGCGGTTCCTGTTTACACATATTTTACTGTATTTGTTTCTTCATTATATAAAGATAAGTTTTGCTTATGAACTAAGGATAAAACGTTAGTTCTATAAATTAAAATATCTTTTACACGTAAAGAAAAAGTAAGATATTTGAACTTTACTCTTGATAATTATAATTAAATATGAATTATAGCAACGTATCAGCATTTTTAAAATTTGTTCTGTAGATAAATAACAGATTTAAATCATATTGTATTCGTGTAAAAAATTTAAAATAGCAATTTATTTCGAGATATCTGTTATATTTATTTATTTTAATCTAATTTGTCATAGTCTGTAGCTAACAGTCGTAATTTGATCTAGACTAATTATCTAAAGTATCCTGTAATTTTCTAGAATGACATTATAAATCATTAGTATAAAAATAAAAAAAATATATTTGATAACAATTGTATGTAATTATTACAATACAATACTTAAAAAAATTCATGACGACGTATATAAATTAAATTAATTGTCGCATTGTTACGCTATAAGTTAATGGACTTATAAGTTAAATTTACTAAAATGTATCTCATTGGTCTGCAATTTCAACTTGCAGACCTACACATTCCCACAGTTGTACATCCTTGGTTAATCTCGAGTTAAATAGATTAAAATCGAGATTTGGAATGGGCCAGAACCCCCGATTATCTGTAAACAACTTCCGGTACGTACAGGAAGTCGCGTGATTTCAGTTCATGAAGATAACCGACGTAACTCTTGTTATCAGAAGTATGATGTACGGGGGCAAGACACTGCTAAAATCGAGACCAGATATGGAAATTTTATAAAGGAAATAAAGCGAAACTCTCAGCTTTATATTATTGTAAAAATGGGATATTTTATTCCAGAAATAATTGAATTTACTCAAACATTTTCAAACTTGTTAAACAAGTAAAATATATATAAAATTATATAAATATTAGTAAAAGTTAATTTTAGTAAATCTAAACTGATAAATGAGTGTTCAAAGGGTGAATGATTGAGAATTTAATGGAATATGGCTGAAGGGAAAGTACCAATAAAATTATTTAGCAGAGAGATTATAAGAAGTAATTGCTTATTGTTTACATATATATATATACATTCTGGTATTTTGAAACCGTGCCAGTAGTTATTAGTAGTAATTCAAACGCAAATTATTATTGTATTTACTTTCAGGCACTTGGCAATTTTTATCATCCAATGATGATAAAAATTGCCAAGTGCCTGAAAGTAAATATAATAATAATTTGTGTTTGAATTACTATAAATATACATGTTAGTATGGATGCATATATTCATACTAACGAGAAAAAATCCGAAAGAATAATCAATTTGAATTGTCCGTACACTTTTCATTTGCCTAAACTTTTCATATTTTTATTATTTTTTATTTAATTCTAAGTGAAATTAGTGCCATGTTTCATAGAGAAATAAGAATTATAGTGAAAATTAAAATTATAATAAAGACTAATTTGCTAAATATTTTAATTTAAACTGTATTTTACTAGAAAGAGCATTACAAAAATTATAGTAAGAAAATTAGTGTAAGACAATGAAAATTGCTCTATACACTTCAGTATTGTTTGAATGATTAATATAAATTTCAGTGAAAATTAAAAGAAAAATTCCTCGAAAACACTAATTTAGCAAGTTTAAAGTTTATTTTATACGAAAATTTAAATGTTAGCATCTTTATTTTTAGATTTTCTTACATAAAAACTCTGATATAGTTGATAAGATCATAAAATTGGTGAGATTTGCTCTTCATCGATTTCCGCTTATCACTCGCATTTTTTATCATTTAGAAATTTTATTTTTAATCTATTCTTTAAATATTTTTACACGTAAACTATACAATCATTAAAATAAATATACAAAGTATAATTTATAATATTTTAAAAAATTATTAAAGGCTTCTAATATATGCAAAAAGATGAACTGAGCTGAATATCATTTTATGAGTTTCTTGCGAGACACTTTATTTTCTAAAATAGAAAAAAAACTAATAAAATATGATTCGCGAGTGTATAAAATCGGAAAATATATAATAAATATGGAAAAAAACAAACTTTGAATGAATAGTTCTTTTAGATCTGATTGTCTTTTTTGAAAGGTTGATTGATTCCGAACTTCAGACTTCAAATATTTAAAGAATGTGATTTATTTATTTATTTATTTNTTTTTTTTTTTTTTTTTGCGTTAAAATTAATTTGAAAAAATCCGTTATTTATCGTGATAATGCCGGGCTGCAAGTGTTAATATATATTTTAATTTTAAAAATCACGTAATTTCTGGTCTAGACTGGAAGTTCCTGTATAGTAAATCGGGGTCTCCGGTCCCTAATATTTTCATTCCTGCCCTTGAATTTCATTTATCTAACTCCGTTCTTGAGATTAAGGAAGGTCAGGCGGACAGATAGCATATTC